CCCCCCCCCCCCCTTTTTTTTTTTTAACTTTACACTGGTGTTTTTGCCTCTAGTGACAGGTCAGTCCTATGAGAATATGGTGACTGAGATCATGTCAATGGGCTACGAACGAGAGCAAGTAATTGCTGCACTGAGAGCCAGCTTCAACAATCCTGACAGAGCAGTGGAGTACCTTTTAATGGTAAGTATCTTCTCTTATCTACATTTTCGTCTTTCTTGCCTCTTTTAACAGAAGGACTTAGTCTTTGAAAAAACTCATGCTTTAGAAGTGACAAAACCTCTAAGATGAGTGAAAATCCACATGGAAACAGCCATATTTTCATAGTGTTGGAGTGAAGTTATAGCTGTGATAGTCCAGGAATTATACAAGAGTTAAGGATTTTTGTGGGCAATATCTTTTATTGGACCAATGTTTTTTGGCATAATGTTAGGCAAGCTTTCAAATGCAAGTTATTGTCTCATAATTTCTGGACTATCATGGCTACAACATTTCTCTTAGAGTACCATAACATGCCTTCTTGACTTAAACTTTGTTTGCCCCTTTATGGAAACAGGGCCTTGCCATCCCATTGAAGGTCCTCAATGCTGACTTAACTCCCTGGTTGCATAAGCAGAACATTTCCCAGACCTCCAGTGTTGGCCTTTTGGATTTTCAATTCTCCTCTTCTGGGAAACTTAGTACCTAATGCAAGTAGCATGTATATTGGTTGCAAAAGCCAACTGATTTCTGTTTTGGCGAAAATGGCATCCCGCTGCCTCAGTTTTCTCCCTAGTCAGACCCCAGCCCAAAGAATTCTGTTCTTAGGAATCTTGCACAAAGCTTCTCTAAATCTTGGAGAGCATCTTTTCTGAGCAGCTGCTTTCTTTGTCTGCTTTCTCTCCCCCACAGGCTGGTCCTGTGTTAAACTGATTCTTGCTACTAAGAAGGTGTTGCTTTTCTGTTCCTCTTTCTTAAGTTTATGGTGACTGAGTTTTCCTCCTCTCCCTATTTCTCTTCTGAAACTAAGAATTAGCTTCTTGGGGGTTTTTTTGTGTTGCCAGCCTCAGCTCTGTAGTTGCCCTGGCTTTTCTAACTACCTCCCTTCAAGTGCTGGCCAAGTAAGTATACTCCTCCCTGGTAACTTCCCCCTTGCCTCCACTGCTTATATGCCTTCTTTTTTTTCCCCTAGGCTCCCCTACATTTCCCTGTTTAGCCAAGGAAGTTTTTTGGCTCCTTTCCCTGTTTTCCCTTGTACTGGGGTCATTTTCCTCTGCGCCCGAAGGATAGCTTCCTTTAGGAATGACCACCCTTCCTGGATTGCCATCTTGCCAATACTCCTATCCTGCAGTGTCATTGACTATACTCCTAAGCACACTAAAGTTAGCCTTCCTAAAGTCAAGCACTTCCACCCTACTGGTTATCTTACCCACCCTA